GGGCTTGCCATATATGATTTTTAGTAATATTTTTTTTTCTCGGTTGTTTGTTGGGCTATCTTATTGAAACTTGGACAATGTATGATGGAAAGATGCTTAACATACAAAAAAAAAAAAAAAAACGATAAATATATAAGGGAGTTCACTTCTCAGCCATTAACCGCCTCTTTGTGGTATATTTTTGTATGGATTTAATGGATGTACAGTAGGGCCCCGCTTTATGGCATTTCGCTTTACGGCGTTCTGCTAATACGGACATTTCAAATTATAACCAGAACTTACTATACATCTCCCCCCACCTGACTTTCTAATAAGGTCACTGCGCCCCACCCAGCTTGTTTACATTCTCCGTGAGCTCCATAAGTACCACGTCTCTCCATTGTCTGGAAACTCCAAAATTTCTAGTGTTCTTAAAAGTTATTTCATATTTTATATGAAATAACTTTTAAGAACACTAGATGCCATATTAGTAATGATAATAATCACAGTTTCATTAAATGCTGTATATTACTTTAATATACACATTTTCATTAATCCATCTATGATATTTTTTCAAAATTATATAATAAACACTATACATAACATATAAAGATGATAAATACACCCAACAGTAGAATAAACATAAATATGAGATGTGGTAGCCAGACAACTTGTACGAGTGACGCCATATTAGTAATAATAATAATGCTCAATAATATTCACCGAGTCATTAAATGTCGTATATGATGTTAACCCATAAACGGTCCAAACGTATATATACGTTTTTTTCAACATTTGAATGTAAAAAAAGTAATTTTTTTTTTTTACATTTGAAAACGTGTAAAAAACTTTGATCTACTTTTTTTTTGTTATATTTGAAAATATGTAAAAAAAAATGTAGATCTACTTTTGGAGCACTACGCATGTGAATGTAGATCTCCTTGGACCGTTTACGGGTTAATATACACATTTTCATTAATCCATCTATGATATTTTTTTCAAAATTATATAATAAACACGATACATAACATATAAAGATGATAAATACACCTGGCAGAACAATAAATAAACACAAATATGAGATGTGGTAGCCAGACAACTTGTACAAGTGACGGCAAGAATAATGTTTTCTCTAGTCCAACATAAGAGAAAGTGTGTTACTGGGTATAACTGTAGAAAATTATTCCTTTCATATGCCTTCACTCAGAGCATCATTTCTTTTAAAAAATGGTGTTACATAAGAATGGGAGTGTTCCTCTTTATTTAATCTACCGTATCAACACAGAGACAACTTGTATACAATGTAACTTGTACACAAACCAGACGTGTTTGCTTGGGTTGTTTACAAAACTGCCGTTCGCCTGGTTTGTTTACATAACTCCCCGAGTGTCCTCTCTCACGTACTCATATTAATTCATTCATTCTCTCTCTCTCTCTCTCTTTCATTCTCTCTCTCTCTCTCTTTCATTCTCTCTCTCTCTCTTTCATTCTCTCTCTCTTTTCATTCTCTCTCTCTCTCTCTTTCATTCTCTCTCTCTCTCTCTTTATTTCTCTCTCTCTCTCTTTTTCCCATTCTCTCTCTCTCTCTCTCTCTCTTTCATTTCTCTCTCCTCTCTCTCTCTCTTTCATTCTCTCTCTCTCTTTCTCTCTCTCTCTCTCTCTTTCATTCTCTCTCTCTCTTTCATTCTCTCTCTCTCTTTCATTCTCTCTCTCTCTTTCATTCTCTCTCTCTCTTTCATTCTCTCTCTCTCTTTCATTTTTCTCTCTCTCTTTCATTCTCTCTCTCTCTCTCTCTCTCTCTCTCATTTACTCGTTTTATCTCATTTACTCACCTCTGACCCTACATTAAGACTACAAATATTTTAAGGTAAGTAATGAGTGAACTGTATATGCATTTTATCGCTCTGGGACGCTTAAATGTCATAGAATATTGTGTGTGGGTGGGGTGGCCTGGTATGGTAGCCCGGCTGGCTACCATACATACCACACTTGATTTCTTACAATAAATATTACTCATCTCACCCTAGATTAAGACTACAAATATTTTAAGCTAAGTAATGAGTGTACTATATGTGTATTTTACTTTTTTATTCTTTTTTTTTAATTCCTAGTTCTAATGCTAACTTAATATATGTTAGTGTAAACTTGTTATCTAGTATTTATATGCATTTATAAGTGGAAAAAAGGTGTTCCACTTTACAGTGGTAGCCTGGAACCTAACCTGCCGTATAAGTGGGGCCCCTACTGTATTCTCGTTTTCTTGGTCTCATTTAACCCTTAAACTGTCCAAACGTAGATCTACACCTACGTGCTGGGGGGGCTCCGAACGTAGATCTATGTTTTGTTTTACATGTTTTCAAATGGGGAAAATGAAGGTCAGAGCGCTACGCACGTGAACGTAGATCTACGTTTGGACAGTTTAACCCTTAAACGGTCCAAACGTATATGTACGTTTTCTTTGTCATTCATTCAACATTGCCACGATAAGCCTGAGTCGCCTAGACATAGGAGAATGGGTGTGCGCACTCAGTGCGCCATATTAAAGTAAAAGGGGATGCCTGGGTACCATATGCTCTTTTTTCCTATTAAAAAAAAAAATTCTCTCAAAAAATTTGGGGCGCTACGCGAGTGAACGTATATATACGTTTGGACCATTTAGGGGTTAAGGGTTAATAGAATGGAAGATATATTACTGAAATAGATATGATTTTGATTGGTTTCATGACGAAAAATACCTTGAAATTGAGCTTAAAGTAGCAGAAATGTTCAATTTTTGCCAGTGTTCAATGAACTTTCCTGTGTAAGTTGGTTAATTTTATTAAGTGTATTCTAACCTAACCACTCTGTAATCCTGTAAACTCAGTAATCCAGCACACTACAGGTTCCAAAGATGCTGGATTTGTGACGGCAGACTTGTACTATCATTTTTAAATCACCACTGGATATAAAAGCTTCAAGTACATTAAGGTATACAGATTACTACCTTTAGACAGATCTTGCAAAGTTATTTATCTCAGTTACTTATTTTAAAAAGACATGTCAGGCATTATGGAGGGAAGTACTTTTGTTGTCCTCACTTGGGAGAAGCTACTACAAAAACACAGAATGCAATATAACATGGAACCTGTGATACCAATATGGACGTGGAGGAATACAGGGTGTTGATCAGTTACCTGTAATGAAGGACTTTATCAGATGGTATGCAGATATAAACACTAGTTTGGTATGAGTTACCTAGAAGTAATTTTCCCATTGCTCCTGATAATATAATGTACTGCATACAAATGATATGCCAATAGCTATGTGAAAGAGTTAATTTTCCAAAATACAAAAGCAAACTTCACAAAATATTCATAATACATTATTAATTTCAGGAATTTCTAAAATGTCTGAAACAGGTAATTGGAAAAGTCAAAGAGCAAATTATGTGTATAAAATGGCTAACTGCAAAATATTGTTGATTTAAACTAATTTCCACATTTAATTTTAATATTTTTATTTTGTAAAAATTACATTTAAATTCTTGTAGAATGCATTATATCAGTTGTACATAGATTAAAGCTTAATTTCACCTCTCTTTCATTTATGTATATGTTGTAATGCTGTGGTAGTAACTGATAGCTTTTACAGAACTTTACTAACCTAGTGTAGCATGAGAGAGAGAAAGAGAGAGAGAGAAAGAGAGAAAGAGAGAAAGAGAAAGAGAGAAAGAGAGAGAGAAAGAGAGAGAGAAAGAGAGAGAGAGAAAGAGAGAGAGAGAAAGAGAAAGAAAGAGAAAGAAAGAAAGAGAAAGAAAAACAAAGAGAGAGAGAGAAAGAAAAAGAAAGAGAAAGAGAAAGAGAGAGGAATATAGTACTTTTCAAAAATATTATCTGCTTGGGGAATACTTAGCAAATCAGACAGGGAGAGCTAATAAAATACATACCGGCAGACAATGATAGCTGGACCAGGAAGCACTGGTTGTGTGTAACAAGCTAGGCCTCATTGCACCCTAGGGAGCATGGATGAAGCTTCTCACATTAAAACTATCTGCTCTGCTTTCTTGGCTTGAGTGGTGACCTTGGTGTTGATGGTGACAAGTCTTATGAATTAAACCACTACAGTTGACCTAATTTGCCATCTTCAGAAAGGTACAAACAGGCACTCTCAAAGCACTGGTAGGGATGATTTGATTTAGAGATCTTAACTAACATTCAATATTGAAGCCCTATACTGCTCTCCTTGCAGTACACAAGACTTATTGTAAGTACACTAATTAAACATTTTTTCACAGTATGTATTGAACTTAGCGTTTCTGCATGAATTTTCAAAAACCTCTCCAGTGCCTTTCATTGTTGAAAATTATTTATCTGCCAGGTATTTAGATCATGTTAGTCACCAATGCTGATTAATTACTTGATCACATGGTACCATCAATGTTCAGCATCCACAATAATACACTATTTCATCACACACACACTTGGGGCATTTCAGTAAAATCGGCAGATGCTGCCCATTTCCACTAAAATATTATCTTGGAGTAACATCACATCATCTGCTAAATAAGGTAATCACTTTTGGGTTTATCGAGAATTCTTTCTACAAGTGATCATGATATTCACAGATTATTTCTGTCACTACAATATTTCTGTCTTCGAAGACTTTGCCATAATGCTATCTCAAGAAGTTATAACATTTTCAACTTACAAAACCCAGGAAGTGTCAAAATATTATCTATTGTTATAATAATAATAGTAATAATGATGTGTGTGTGTGCACACATGTGTGTACATGTGTGTGTATGTGTGTGTGCACGTGTGTGTGTGCATGTGTGTACATGTGTGTGTGTGTGTCCCCTGTGTGTGTGTCTGTGTGTTGTGTCTGTGTGTGTGTGTGTGTGTGTGTGTGTGTGTGTGTGTGTGTGTGTGTGTGTGTGTGTGTGTGTGTGTGTGTGTGTGTGTGTGTGTGTCTGTGTGTGTGTCTGTGTGTGTGTGTGTGTGTTTTTGTGTGTGTGTTGTGGTGTGGTCTGTGTGTGTGTCTGTGTGTGTGTCTGTGTGTGTGTGTGTGTGTGTGTGTGTATGTCTGTCTGTGTGTGTGTCTGTGTGTGTGTGTGTCTGTGTGTGTGTGTCTGTGTGTCTGTGTGTGTGTGTGTGTCTGTGTGTGTGTGTGTGTCTGTGTCTGTGTGTCTGTGTGTGTGTGTGTGTCTGTGTGTGTGTGTCTGTCTGTGTGTGTGTGTCTGTCTGTGTGTGTGTGTGTGTGTCTGTCTGTGTGTGTGTGTGTGTGTCTGTCTGTGTGTGTGTGTGTTGTGTCTGTCTGTGTGTGTGTGTGTGTGTCTGTCTGTGTGTGTCTGTCTGTGTGTGTCTGTCTGTGTGTGTCTGTCTGTGTGTGTCTGTCTGTGTGTCTGTGTGTTTATACAGTATATACTGTATATATAAAGCTAATCATAATTCAGAGAAATCTGAACATTTAATTGTTAGTATGACTATGTACACAAATATGTTCACTGCACGTAAAGCTTGAGGTTGAGTATATAATAAATGCTATAATATAAGCATGTAACTCCATTCTACCTCCACACAATCTGTACCTAGCAAATAACTTGTATGATTTAATAATTTACCCGCACTGTAAGTACCATGAATATACTATGTTTTGTGTATTTATGTAGTATGTACTGATTTACACCTTTACAAAAAAGATTTCTTGAAACTAGTTAGTCTGCACATTGCTGTAAGTCTGCAAAAATTCTTTTTTTTTATATATTACATGCCATCGCAATCTCGTGAGCATCTACACTTGCGAATGATATCAACATCCTTTGTGTATTTAGTTCCATCATTGCAAATCATCGCTACCCGTTTCTTGTGGTATCGTTTAGGCTGACAACAGTCTTTCCCACATTTACCATCACAGGTAAACTGCTTGATGCGGTATCGAGAACGGCAGCCATAATCAAATACAAAAGCTCTTTGTCTATCCCTCCGGCAAGTTGGAGCTAGAAGGAAGAAGATACCTAAAGTTAGTAACTCTCAGAAGATAATTTTTACACATCACTGAAGTCATTCAATTAACCCTTAGACAACTAATTCTTTGAGGTGAGAGATTGTTATTTTTTTATGTCAGAAACTAGGCAAATAAAGTACAGTGGAACCTTGATTTTTGTTTGCCCTGGTTTTCGATGACTTTTTTCGTCAAAATATTGTCCCAGTTTTCGTTCGTCACCTTGGTTTTCGTCTGTCGTACCAAACGTGTCTGCGCGCCCTCGCCCACACAAAGCATCCCACGCACACATTCTGAGTCAGTCTGGCTTTGTTTCTTGTCGAGTGAACATTACCCTGCGCATTCATACAAAACATTTCGTAATAATCGATTGTTTTTTGTGCTTGTTTATCGAGTGCGACTGTTAAATAAGCCACCATGGGGCCAAAGAAAGTCCAGGTGCCAGTCCTTTGATAAAGAAGGTGAGAAACGCAATAGAATTCAGAAAAGTAATTGTAGAAAAGTACGAAAGTGGCATACATGTGATCGATCTCGCCAGGATGTACAGGAAGTCCTCATCAACAATTAGTTCCATCCTGGTCAAGAAAAAAGAAATCAAGGACTCTGATTCTGCGAAAGGGGTAAGTGTGCTAACAAAACAGAGATTGCAAACAATCGAAGATGTTGAGAGGAGTTGTTGGCGTGGATCAACGAAAAGCAGTTAGCAGAGACAGTGTTGTGGAGGCGATAATTTGGGAAAAGGCAAGGCAGTTGCATGTGAATCTCGTAAAGAATGTGCCTTCTTCAGTGATTAAGGACGTTTGTGCAAAGTGGAGTGAGATGCAAAGTTTTGTGAGAAATATCACCCTAACAAAGCTGTTGCAAGACGTGTCTGCAACATGTTCAATGACAATGCCATGTCCCACTTTAGGATAATCTTAAAGTGACGCCAGAAACAGACCTCTCTGGACAGATTTTTTTGTGCGACAGGGGTACAGTGACTCTCAAGCTGGTCCTAGTGCCAGTAAAAGACAAAGAAGGGAAGTAACCCCAAGTAGGGACTTGATACCTGAAGTTCTAATGGAAGGGGATTCCCCTTCCAAACAAACTCTCCTCCCTCTCCCCTCCTCGCCATCTTCCACATGCCAACAAGAGTCTTCAATAAAGGTAAAACTGATTTAAATGTTCATTTATCCATTAAAATTAGAGCTTTATATTTATTTCTCATTGTTTTCTGCATGTAAAACTATAGTTATTCTCTATAAAATGTATTTTTTGTTAATGTTTTTGGGTGTCTGGAACAGATTAACCCTTAAACTGTTCAAACATAGATACACATTTGCTTGCGTAGTGCTCCAAATGTATATCGTTTTATTTTTCATTCCTTCAAATTTGGCACAATAGGCTTGAGTCGCCTAGACATGAAAGAATGGATCTGTGCACTCAGTGTGCGCAGTATTAAAAAAATCTGGGAGCACTTAGTACCTTGTGGGAGCACAAGTTCAATTGAGCACTAGCTAGATCAAACAGCATGGCAAACACCAGAGATTCACTGATGCCATGTCGCATTAACACTCCCATTTTAGGAGGAAAGTAAAAATAGGTTAGATAAATACATGAGTGAGTGTGGGTGGGTGTGAGTTGGACCTGACTAGCTTGTGCTACTAGGTCTGATGTCATGCCCCTTCCTTCAATGGATGTGACCTGACTAGGTAGGTCATTGGTCTAAGCCTAGGGGGGGAGGGTGACATGAACCTGCCTTGCATGGGCCAGTAGGCCTGCTGCAGTGTTCCTTCTTTCTCATGTTCTTATGTATTCGGCAGGCTGGCTGGCTTGCTTTGGCTGTCTCTCTGTATCTATATCTCTGTCTCACATGTACACAAGTACAGTTATTATACATAGTGTAAATTACCTAGGATAACCCCAAAAATTCCAGGCAGATAGATAGACAAACATGTTTGTGTGTATCAGTGAAAACAAACAAAGCCAGGGTTCCCCGAGTGCCCATTTATCAAATGTCACTGGGCTGTCAATAGTTGTCATAACACCATTCTTCAAGGAGTTTCATATATGTATACTCCAGGCAGACAGAAAGACATAAGCAGAGACAGACAGATAGACAAGACATGTTTGTGTGTAACAGTGATAAATACAGCGAGGGTTAGCTGAAGATGTGGGCATTTATCAAGTGTCACTGGGCTATCAACAGTATAGGGATGCCTTTCATAACACCATGCTTCAAGGTATACTCCAGGGTATCTAAAACATTGCTGGGGCCTATAAATACTTTGTATATATTTCTAGACAATAGTAAATAACCCAGGCAGGTGTAAATGTTCACCTGTCAATGTGATTGTGACTATTTGAGTACTATTTCAATACCTAATATTAGTGTCAGAACAAAGATTGGCTATGAAATCACAAGAACTATTATCAAATGTAATTACCAGAACATTAAAAATATATAAATTAAAATTAAAACAAGAAAAAAAGGTATATCGGCAACACTTCTGCAAGTGGCAGGAGTCGATGTTGCTGTCAGGTAAGCATCCAGAGCCAACTTCATGGTCTTATATCTTGGTAAGTACTGACCCTAAAAAACTTTTTTAATCCCATTACATGTAGAAAAATGTACTCTTCATTTAAAAAAAAAAATCATTTCTCAAAATACTCGGATTGCCATGAGTGAATGTAGATCTGTTTGGACAAACCATACCATGGGTGGGATTTGAACCCGCGATCAGAGAGTCTCAAAACTCCAGACCGCCACGTTATCCACTGGGCCAGCTAGCTTCAATAAGATTTGTTCAACTAGGTATATTTCTACACCATAGGAAGGTTAGCATAGGCACCACTGTATCCACAAATGCAAGTTTTTACAGACGAATCTCCTGCTAGCATGGCCATGCTAGTGGGAGATTCGTCTGTAAAAACTTGCATTTGTGGACACAGTGGTGCCTATGCTAATCTTCCTATGGTGTAGAAATATACCTAGTTGGACGAATCTTATTTAACCCTTTCAGGGTTTTGGCCGTACTAGTACGGCTTACGCGCCAGGGTCCTTGACGTACTAGTACGCATAAATTCTTGCGCCCTCAAATCAAGTGAGAGAAAGCTGGTAGGCCTACATATGAAAGAATGGGTCTATGTGGTCAGTGTGCACAGTATAAAAAAATCCTGCAGCACAGTGCGTAATGAGAAAAAAAAACTGACCGTGTTTTTGGATTAAAACAGCGACTTTGCACTGTATTTTCCTATGGTATTTATTGTTGTATTCTAGTTTTCCCTGGTCTCATTTTATAGAATGAAAGACATATTACAGAAATTTAGATGATTTTGACTGGTTTTACAATGAAAAGGGCCTTGAAATTCAGCTCAAAGTAGCAGAAATGTTCGATTTTTACCAAAGTTCAAACGTAAACAAATCATGCTAAGCATCCAATACACATCAACTGGCGAGTCTAATATTCTTTCACAAGTGCTCTGATATTATTTATACCATTTCTACACTAATGCAGTAGTCTGCATAACAGTAAATCTTTTATTTTTTTGTGAGAATAAAAATTCAAAGTGGAAAGCAAAAGAATGTAAGAGAGGCTTGGGGACGTGAATAATGAACAGAGGAAATGTTATTTTAGTGCCAGGAATGTCTTTCTTGTTTATTCTGCACCCTATTTAGAAATTGACATCTTTTGAAATTTGTATGAAATTGGCAAAATTGCTAAATTCTGACCACTATATTAGATAGTTGAAATCAGTAAATGGGTGGTTTCTTGTACTCAATCGATAGTAAAAACTGAGTTCTAGCAAAATAGTCATGATTTCTGTCGACAAGTACACTGGAATTGGCCAAAAATAGGGCTCAAAGTGGGCAAAATCGCCGAGACTACTAACTTCGTGAGAGCATAATTCCATAAGTTTTCCATCAAATTTCATACTTTTGGTGTCATTATGATCGGGAAATGATTCTCTATCTTTTCATAAGAAAAAAAAATTTTTTTTTTTTGAAATTTGGGGGACCCTGAGAACAAGTCTCTGAGAGGGCCTGTGGACCCTGAAAGGGTTAAGCTAGCTGGCCCAGTGGCTAACGCAACGGTCTGGAGTTTTGAGAGACTGACTGCGGGTTCAAATCCCACTCGTGGTATGGTTTGTTTGCAATCATGTCATTATGATTTCGTGAGTTATGTTTGGACAGTTTAAGGGTTAATTGGATTTACATTATTTCTTATGGGAAATATTGCTTTGGTTTTCGTCGAATTTGGTTTTCATCAGACACTCTGAAATGAATTAAAAATGAAAACCTAGGTTCCATTGTACGTATATTGCACTTACATTCTAGTGAGTATATTCAATGAAGATATTCCAATTAGTACTTACTGAACAGTTTCTCCATAAAATGGAGTAGATAAAATTTCACTTACGCTCATTGCAGTATTTGCCGCTCCACCCCCTCTTGCACCGGCATCGGTAACCACCACTACGACGGCGTGGTCGACATCTGCCATTTTCACACTTATTGGCTGAACATGCATTACTGTCTGCAAGATAGAAATTCAGTTTGACTTCCTTGATTACTACAACATACCTTAAATGATATACAGTAGGGCCCTGCTTTACTGCATTCTGCTAATACAGCAATTTCAAATTATGACCAAAACTCGCTATACGGCTCCCCGTCTTTTTAATATTGTGTGCCCCATCTGGTTTGTTTACATTCTCCCTGAGCACATCTCTATTAAGTCTGGAAACTTTCCAAAATTTCAAGTGTTTTAAAGTTATTTCACATTTTATATGCACTCTGATAATTCTACTTATGTACACCTATACCTGAAAATACTTACACACTGTGCTGGCATGCAGGTACACATTAAAATCACTAAGAGTGTCCCTTTCGTCTTAACGCCGTAGTAATAATACTAATACAGTGGACCCCCGCATAACGATTACCTCCGAATGCGACCAATTATGTAAGTGTATTTATGTAAGTGCGTTTGTACGTGTATGTTTGGGGGTCTGAAATGGACTAATCTACTTCACAATATTCCTTATGGGAATAAATTCGGTCAGTACTGGCACCTGAACATACTTACGGAGTGAAAAAATATCGTTAACCGGGGGTCCACTGTACATGTAATAATAATCACTCTTGGGCACATTAAATGTCTTATTTTACATTAATATAGACATTTTCATTAATCTACCTATGATATTTTCTTCAAAATTATTTAAGAAGCACACTGAGCTAGAAATCTACACAGATATTGATGAATGTATTAATAATTTTCTAAAAAAGACCCAATAACTCTATAACAAGCACTGCCCTAAAAAAACTAAACAGATGACAGCTAAGAGACTGAACAGTCCCTGGCTAACACCCAGCATCCTCAAATCCATAAATACAAAACACCTTTACAAAAAACAGTACAGAATGGGTCACATAACCAGAGACCAAACAAAATGTTACTCGTCAGTCCTAACCAGCCTGATAAGAAGGGCTAAAAAATTGTATTATGAGAACAGATTACCCAACTTAAAAGGTGATATAAAAAAGACCTGGAAAACCCTATCAGAAATTCTAGGAACAAAAAAGATATCACGAAATAGTGCAATTGAACTAACAAAACCAGATGAACTCCAGCTCCCACCAACTGAAACAGCAAATGGACTCAATGATTTCTTCTCCACCATAGGAAAAAAACCTTGCCAATAAAATCCCAAGCTCAAATACCCCACCCAATAACTACCTCACTGGCAACTACTCAAACGCACTGTTCCTAGCTCTGACTAACCCAACAGAAGTCTCCCTTATTATCAACACACTAAAAAACAAGACAGGAGATTTAAATACCTTACCACCCTTTATGTACAAGAAAGCATCGCAAGTGCTGCCACCAATCATTGCAACAAATCCATCGAATCCTCTACCTTCCCTACAGTTCTCAAAATAGCGAGGGCCACCCCGATCCATAAAGGAGGAGACCAGACAGACTTGAATAACTATAGGCCAATATCCAACTTACACCCTCTCTCTAAAATCTTCAAAAAATTAATTCATAAGCGAATCTATTCCTACCTCATCTCCCACATCATACTCAACCCCTGTCAGTTTGGGTTCAGGCCTAATAAAAATACGAATGATGCTATTATACACATGCTAGAACAAATATACACTGCACTATAGAAAAAACAAGTCCCACTAGGGATCTTCATTGATTTACGTAAAGCTTTTGATACAGTTGACCATGATTTGCTCCACATAAAATTGTCGCACTATGGTATAAGAGGGCACTCCCTCAACTACCTCAAGTCATACCTCAGCAACAGAAGCCAATATGTGTACACAAATGGAGCAAACTCTTCCACACAGCCAATTACAGTTGGTGTCCCACAGGGAAGTGTCCTTGGCCCTCTCTCTTTCTCGTTTGCATAAATGACCTACCAAATGCATCGCAACTACTCAAACACACACTATTTGCAGATGACATGCTAGCCAATACTGTGAATACTGAAATACAGAAAATATCTACCTGGATGATGACTAACAAACTTAGTCTCAATATTGACAAAACCTACTTCATTCAGTTTGGAAACAGAGCTACAGATGTCCCTCTTAACATAATGATAAATGGATCACCTATCACAAAGCTCACAGAGGGAAAATTCTTAGGAATCCACCTTGAAAATAGACTCAAATTTCAAACACATGTACAACAAATTTCCAAGAAAATTTCCAAGACCGTAGGTATACTATCGAAGATACGGTACTATGTTCCACAGTCAGCCCTCCTGGCCCTATATCACTCACTTATTTACCCCTATCTCACCTATGGAATTTGTGCATGGGGCTCAACAACAATAAACCATCTCAGACCATTAATTACCAAACAAAAGGCTGCAGTCAGAATGATAAATTCCCACTACAGGCAGCACACACCACCAATATTCAAAACTCTAAACCTACTCACCGTACAAAACATCCATACTTATTATTGTACCTACTACATACATAGAATATTCAACTCGGATATAAACCCTCCCCTCAAACGTCTCCTTACCAACCTCAACAGAACACATGACCATAACACAAGGCACAGATCACTCTTTGATGTTCCTCGTGTCCATCTCACACTATGCAAAAACTCAAAACTCAATGCACATAAAAGGCCCAAAAATCTGGAATTCATTGTCTGTTTATAAATTCAAGTCTCTTCTTAAAAATCACTTACTCACCCACAACTAAATAAATGCTGAATAATTGTATCTCATAAATGTTTAACCTGTGATCCTATCAAACTTTGTTTTTTTTAATTACATTACCTAACAGAATATTCCATTCTACTGAATGCTCAGCAACTCAGTAAATGACCATATGACCTGTCTTTGAAATACTTATTTGTGCTTAATTGTTATTTGTTTACTATAATTTTTACCACTGAATATATCATTGCTTAGTTAATTTTAACCCTTTCAGGGTCCGTCCCGTAGATCTACGGCTTTACGTTCAGGGTCCAAACCGTAGATCTACACCAAAATTCTAGCGGCATCAAATTTAGCGGGAGAAGGCTGGTAGGCCTACATCTGAGAGAATGGGTCTGGGTGGTCAGTGTGCACACCATAGAAAAAATCTGGACACCCGCATGGCATTGTGGGAACACCGGCAAAGTAGCTTTGTTCATTGTTCCTGGCTGCAAGGAAGCTTTCACTCCCCACTCACTCTCCGGGCGAATTCTGACTCTCCTCTTCACAACTTACAGTTCTAAGACTGATGGAAGTGGAGCTGAAGACGAATTCAATGGTTTTGAACCATATGGTACCATTGTGCCATATGGTACAATGGTACCATATGGAACAATGGTACCATGTCATACAATGGTATATGGTACAATGGCATCATATGGTAGAGTGGTACCATATGGTACAATGTATCATATAGTACATTGTACCATATGGTACATTATACCATATGGTACAGGGTACAGGGACCCTAATGGAAACAAGTCTGTCTGACTTTTTTGGGTTATCCTAGGTTCTCCAAACATATGCTGCTAAGTATGATATTCTATGTAACTTTATTTGTGTATAACTAAATAAACTTACTTATGATGCCACATGCACTTGAGTAAGTTTATTCAGGTGTACAGAAATACAATTACATAGATTATCATACATAGCAGCATATGTATAAAATCCTAGGATAACCCAAAAAAGTCAGGGTGACTTATTTCCATAGTTATCCCTGTATATGTACCATATGGTGTCCTGTACTGTATGGTACCCTGTGCCATATGGTACCCTGTGCCATATGGTACCCTGCACCATATGTTATCCTCTACTGCATGGTACCCTATACTATATAGTACAATGTACCATATAGTACCCTGTAACATGATACCCTGTACCATATGGTCAATAGGTGTTGGTGGCATGAGACGCAAGCTAGCTACTGACTCGGCAGTTTCTGAGACAAAGTGCTTTGTCATCCACCTCAAGGAACGCGTCAAGTTCCTGTACACTTGTAAATATAAAATAGAACATTACTAATATACAACATTTTTGCATATTTTTGTTGTAAACAACTATTGTAAACAAAATAATAATGAAAATATTAGTGTCTTTATTGTGTTGAATACAACAGTACCATATGGTATCATTGTACTGTAAGGTACAATGTACCATATGGTACCATTGCATCATATAGTACCATATGGTACCATTACACCATATGGTACCATAAGGTACCATTGCACCATATGGTACCATTGTATCATATGGTACCATTGTACCAAATGGTGCCATTGTACCATATGGTACCACTATCATATGGTATCATTGTATCATGTGCCATTGTACCATATTGTACCATATGGTACCATTGTATCATATGGTGCCATTGTACCATATGGTACCATTGCACCCTATGGCACCATTGTACCATATGGTACTATATGGTACCGTTGTATTCAACACAATAACCGCACTAATATTTTCATCATTTTGTCTACAATAAACTTTTAAACAAGTTTTGTAAGCAATATAATGATAAACAAATTAGTGCAGTTATTGTGTTGAATACAATGAGCATACACTTATACAATATACATTATACTGGTCTCACAGGCCACAAATGTTATTAGAAAAAGAAAAAAATTAGAAAAGAAAAGAAAAAAGTATAAAAAACATAAAATAAAAAAATGGGATTTTGCGGAAGTCACTGATGTTGCCGCCACCCGGTCATTTTGGGTCAACTTCCTGCCGCTGTATCTCGGTAAGTACTGATCAGAAAAAAAATATTTTTCTCTTATTACCTTCACAAAAATATACTCTAATTCTGTAAGAAAAAATATTTTTTTTTTTTTCAAAATTTCTTGGACACTGGAGCACCACTTCAGATTTTGGCCTTGGACCCTGAAGGGGTTAAGCCTGCCCATAATGCTCTGCATACAAGGGGCTTTTGGCATGTTACACTTAACCACTGTATTTCTTTGTACATTATGTATCATGTCCAAATTAATAATAAATAAATAAATTACATAGCATA